ATTGTTCAACACATTGAACGCGAGAAAGCCGTTTGTTCTCATAATTTGATTTCAATTTCTGTGAAACAATTTTTGGAGCGAAAAGAGAGAAGCGTTCAGTTATTCATAAAGAAGTTCCAGTCGTTGATAGCGGCCGACGAAAAGACTCAATTGGTGGACAAGTTTATGGCATTTCTGGAAAGCACTTTAAACAGTGACAGCCAATGGCAGTCCGCGAATGAGGAACAGATAGAAATGGCTAAAGAAGTGATTGAACGGCACGTTATGAGTCAGATCTACATTCACGCACTCTATCCTAACGGCGACGGAGATGTACTGCGCGACCAAATCCTTCACAAACACATCCACACGATGTCGACAATGATTACACCCAATCACAGAGATTTGGGAATTCCTAAAGTGTATCACTCGGAGAGTCCGTGGCCTTCAGCCCAATACGAGATACTGGCGATCGGCGCGCATAAGACACCGCGCGATAAAGTGAAGTGTGTCGTCAAGTGCTGTACAAATATTATGAATCTTTTAAGTCTAGCCACCGATCGATCGGTTCCGTCAGCCGATGATCTCATGCCTGTTCTCGTCTTCGTTCTCATTAAAGCCAATCCGCCATCACTTCTGTCAACCGTTCAATACGTCAACAGTTTCTATGAGAAACACTTTGAAGGAGAGGACGCCTATTGGTGGACACAATTCTGTTCCGCCATTGAATTCATTAAAACTATGGACTAATCCATCCAATAATCGCTATTTTATTGCAAACAAATTAATACAATTAACAAATATTTTGATTTATATAAAGTAAACATTCATTATTTAAATTATAATTATAACCAAAAATATATATAAATTGTTTTAATGTAAAAATAATTATGTTTTCTATATAACAAATATTACATAAATGGCATTAAATGTAATTTCATATAAATATTTACTTTAAATATAAAATAAATGCTCACTTTTATTAACCAATTATTGTATTTTCATTGAATATATTGTAAAGTTTTGTATCAAGTTTTGACAAAATTATGTGAATTGTATATCTTTTGAAAGACTTATGCCAATTAGGAAATAATAGAGAAATTCAGGAATTGCCCAATATATTAACATATGATAAGAGCAGAGATTCTTCGGGAATTCCCGAATAAAATTAGTTAATAGAATGTTCGGGAATAACTTCCAGTTAGTTTTGGAGGTTATAATGAAGTAAAAATATACCATTTTTATTTTCACGAATACAGTACTTCCGATTTTGGCATATTTTAAGAATATTCCCGATTTTAGCCTATTTGAAAATATTCCCGATTTTGACATATTTTAGAAAAATTCCGAAATTTTATGCAAAATAGACTCTTTTCAAGAAAAACTAAAAATATTATTATAAAAATTCACAAAATGTTGAGATAATATGTTTAACAAAATATGCACTAAATGAGTTTGACCATGTTGAACTTTTATTTCTCTCTCAATTTAAAAATATTCTTACAAATAGAAGATAGACTTAAAGAATGAAACTTCAATTTCTATGTTATTCTATCCAGTATAATTCATTTTTAAATGATTTAAATTTATAATTCTTGTATTTTAACTGAATAAACGTTAATTCCCGAATATTCTCGAATTTGACTGTTTTACTCCCGGTTCCCGACCGAATTTGGTAGTTTTTATTCCCGAATAATCTCTGCTCTAACTATAATTATTAAAGCACAGAAAAGACTTCAAGTTACCATGATACAAGATAGAAGGTTTAAGATAGAGGAAAATTTTAATATTACGTTTCTATCAAACGAATCGGGTTTCACGATTCAATTCAATTCAATTGTCAGGGTTTTGCTTCAAGATAAGCAGAAATCCAGGATGGAAAGATTCGAGATAGAAAGTTTAACTGTACTCAAGCGGGCAATTAAATCATTATTTGTTAAAATATATGTCAAAATCATCAAAATATCAATTTTACCATTTGCTTCATAAACCATAATAGGCTCCAAAATTTGCCCTAAATATTTAATATGTAATTTTTATTTTCCCAAATGTTTCCTATATTGGCATGTTTTTGAGAAAACTTCATCAAAATATCAATTTTACCATTTGCTTCATAAACCATAATAGGCTCCAAAATTTGCCCTAAATATTTAATATGTAATTTTTATTTTCCCAAATGTTTCCTATATTGGCATGTTTTTGAGAAAACTCCAAAAAAAAACTAATTTTACTGACAATTTGTGAAGAATGAGTTCTAAACTTTGAACAAACTTTGAAAGTACCCATAATTTAGGTCCTAAACGCACTTTTAGAGAAAGCTTTATATTGAAAAATTTTGAGCCTATTTTATATAATAAAAGCTAATATTTTCAGTCAAAATATTAGTAAATTATAAACGTAAGTGAATTGACATCTGTTACAAAGTTTGTAACATTAATTTAATACCTTTGAAATGTAAACGCAATCAACCTTTGGTCGTATCAAGAAATTCAATCTTTTCATCAAAGTTTGTGCGATTATTACATTTGATGGTCACGTGATATGCACTGACTCTTACATTATGATGACATATATTCCCAATGCATAACACTTTTGATTAAATTGAGCGCATTTTGTCAGCTCTTGTATTGCATTCAATAATACAGACCTAATGTCAGCCATAATGGGAGTGAAGGGGAATATTATGGGAATATTGCTCTCAGTGTTAGAAATGGGAATTTTGTGTCCATTTGTTTACATAATAAGTGATTTGAATATTGTTTTGACAATAAAATAGTAAACAATAGTAAGTATACGAAGTATTGGCAAGTTTTGCAAGTTTTGGGAAGTATTGCAAGAATTGGTGATAATTATGAGCCATAGATATCATAACCAGAGACGGAGGACGAGATCTTCGTGTCTGGACGAGAACAGTGCGGATCAGCTGAAGATTGTGAACGGAATCGCTTTATATAAGAATAGGGTTTGTATTGAGTGTTGAAATGTATTGAACGGATGTATTGAAGTGATTGTCTGATTGAATGGCAGAACCATTGGTCTAACGTTTGTTCAGTTCTCAAGCGATTCAAAAAGGACTCAAAGTTTTGCGATTTTCAGCTCAAAGTCGATGAGAAGATATTTAACGTCCATAGAGTGGTGTTAAGCGCTTCCAGTCCTTACTTCGAGGCCTTGTTTTCAAACGATTTGATTGAAAAAGAGTCCAAATTTGTGGAAATCAAAGACATTTCGTCGAAGATATTTGATGTGCTGTTGGAATACATCTACTCCGGAGAAGTGGCCATCAATGGAGATAATGTCCAGGAATTGGTTTCTGCGGCCAATCGACTGGAATTGACAGAAATTGTGTCCATTTGTTGCCAATATATGAACAGACAATTAGATCCGATTAATTGTATCGGAATCTTAAGATTCGCTGAATTCCTTTCGTGTACTTCTTTGCGCTTCGATTCCAAGCGTTATATCGAAAGACATTTCGCAGAAGTCATTAAAGAGGAAGAATTCTTTGATTTACCTAAAGATCTATTGAAAGGCTTTCTTCGCAGTGAAGGCCTTAGCATTGATAATGAGTTTCAAGTATTGGAGGCAACAGTTAAGTGGATTATCAAAGACCAGTCCAATCGGTTCCAACATTTCGACGAACTCATGGATTGCGTCAGAATTCCTGTCATTCCTATCAAACAATTGGAGTCTTTTATCAATAACTGTAATAATGAGGAATTGAGGGCAAAACTGGAATTAGTTCTTCACAGCCATAAGGAGGCCATCGAAACGATTGAGAAGAATAAGAAATTGAACTTAATTGCCATTAATTGTCACAACAGTTTAGTTAATAATGGCTTCTATGAGGTTCGATGGCAGCCGAGG